CACCCATCGCTAGGGCATTCTATACACTCATCCTACATGCCAAGCCACCCCCCTTTGGAATGCTTGGAAGTCTTGGAGCCTTGAGAGTCTAGGGCCTGGGGTTCAGGGCCCCTACACCCCTACACCGAAACCCGCCATGAGGACTTGTTCTTGCGATGTAGGAGGCAAAGAACACCCAAACTACTGGACTAGTCTCAACCCGGAGGACGCAGAGGAGGCAGCATTCCAGGTCGGCGACGTTGTCGAGCTGGTTGGCTGAAATCCTCTGGGGTCGTTACTAAGGTTGTTTTGGACCTATTGCAGGCTTTGGTTTCGAGGTTCTTCGCTGCGAAGTTCTTGCGAGTGGGTAGGGAAGCTAGGTAGCAACACGTCAATGAGCTTGAAAAGGCAACGAGTGGTGTTTAGAAGTGCTTGCTTGCAAGAAGTCTCCACGGGCAGAGCAACTTCAGACAGGCCGGGGTATTGGGGATATAGACGGTATAGGTCGGCCTTCAATTTGTTTTGCTGGGCTGACGTGTGGGTTTGGCAGATCAGGTTGTGGTCTGTTTGAGCGCTCTTTCTGTCCACATTTGACACGGTTCTGACGAAGACAATCGAAGACAGATTGGTACCGGAACTAGCCATTGGTATCGGCATTGGCCATTGCGTAGACCACGCCCACCGGAATTTTCAAGTTTCAGGGTCCAGATGGTTCAGGGCTTGTAATTAGAAGTTTCAGTTTTTTGGGTGAAGAGGGTTTAGGGAACTCAGAGTGTATATACTCTGTCGCCAGAGAACTGGATGGAAAAGCAACGGCACCTCGGGGGTTACAGGCAGGATCTGGTTTGTTGAGGGTTGGGGCAGTGTCGAGGCCGTTTCGTCCATGCCGAAGCCTCTCTGACCTCGGCGTGCCGAACCGAATGAGAGTTCGGTAGATTAGCTATAATCTAGAACCGAAATCAGAAGAAAATGGCCAGGGCGTGGTGTGTCGTTGCATTCGACATCTTTGTGCATGGGAAGAGCATGGAAGTGCCATCTCCGGACTTCCCACGTTGCCTTCACTGGTCTGCGTTGCTCAGGGTGCCCGCCTTCATGCGCCAGGGCAAGAACGGCAAGTTGAGGCAAGTGGCTGGGGGTTCCGAGTTCACATAGGGTTTATGATTGCTGGCTGCAGGCTCTGCGTTCAGCATTGAAAGGTGCTAGGGCCTAGGGGTCATCTACACGTATTGTCCCGACTCCCGAGCACCTACGGTGTCAATCGGGCACAAAAAACCTAACAACCACTACAAAACCAACACAATGAAACCTAACCCGAAATCTCGGGTCGCTTTTGCTGCTACTGCGGCTGTCTTCACTGGTCTAGAATCTAGGCTTTAGATCTAGTGGCTTTTGCGTTGAGACCGCAGGCTTAAACCGCAGCAGGCAGAAATTACCCTCCAGCCCCGGCTTCCCCCGGGGCCCCCCTTTAAACAGCACACTCCGCTAACTTGGGCGGCCCAAAACCCTCTGCATGGGCTCTTGAGGGGTGCCGCTTTCGGAAATCGAGCTCGGGAAGTTTTGATCCTTGAATGGGTTTTGCGCGTGTTGGGGCAGCTGGCCCGATCCGATCTAGAAGCGGTGTATCTTAATTGCTTGCTTGTCATTCACGCCTTACCTAGGCCTAGGCAGGTGCTTCTTGAGTGATTGGGTTCAGGGTTGAACGCCTTCAGAGTTTCAAGTGGGATGTTGCAGTCGCACGATCAGGAACACACGGCTGTCTCTTGCTACTACGTATGTTCGAATTCTCCCGGCACCTTAATTATTGCAATGTTTGTCTTGGTATTGAGGCTCCATAGCACCGTATGGGGGGATTGTGCTACAATATGCCCAGAACCCTGTTAAAATCACAATGGGCCCTATATTGTAGAACCTAATTCCAACGATCAAAACCCCCAGCTGAAACAGTGTGAACCCTGGTGAACCCTCTCCTTTCCGCACCCCTAAACCCTAAACCCTAAACCCTAAACTCTAAACCCTAAACCCTAAACTCTAAACCCTAAACCCTAAACCCTACACCCTAAACCCTAAACCCTAAACTCCTGTCTGTGGGTCCTTTCTGACCAGGCCGGGCGATGCCCTGAAGGCCGAAACCTCAGCTTGTGTACTTTCGAGAGTTTCGGGTTTGGGTTCAGGGTTTAGGGTTTAGGGTTTAGGGTTTAGGGTTTAGGGTTTAGGAGAGTTTCGGGTTTGGGTTCAGGGTGCACGGTTTCTCTAGATCGATGAAACCATACTGTTAGAGGCACTTCAGAGAGACCTCGTTCAAAAGGGTTCACGGTTTAGCCAACAGCTGCAGTTGAAGCGAATAAACAAGCAGACGAAATTTGAATACATCCCATGATACATTCACAGAGACATTAAAGGGCAGATCAACCAACAATGATTAAACCAAAAAGGTACATCGACGAAAATCAGTACAGATAGGGCATGGATGAACCGCAACATGTAAAGCAGCCAAACTATTGTTCTGCGTTGCGACTTTTTATAATGAACATCTGGAGATTTACATACATGCGTACGTACATGCACACATTCGTGCATGCGTACATGCATAGGTATACACATGCATGCATACATCGAAAAGACTTCTTGCTTCCCTGTGTGGCTTGAGACTAGGAAGTGCAATTCGCAGTCGAGGGATGGTGCACCATGTGACTGTACAGGGTGTCCTGTTGGTAGCACCCTTCTTCCGAACCGGCAGTATCCTTGACACGACTTTTGATGGATGGGCTGCGCTCTCCTCGAGGATATTTTTTGGGACCTTTCTCTTGAGGTAGATTCTTACTTCTGTTGCTGTGAGACACATCCGGTTTGTTGTTGTTGCTGTTGATGCAGACGGAACCTTACTTAGTTGGTACACGAAGTAGCAAGCTACGTCATGGGCACGGAAGTATGTGACACATATTGTCAATTATTGTCATGTCACATGGAAAGGAAACGGAGTTTTCACCAAATACCGCACACCGCCATTGCTTGTTGGAGTTTTAGGGGTTTGGTTCTGGGATCAGCGGTTAGGGGACGCAACAGGCCCCTGCATCAAAGCATTAAGGGCCTATCGTGGCGGGCGGGAATGCAGCGGTGTCGGTCTTCGACGTTAGATATGCACATTGGCACAAGTAATCCGCTGTTTTATCATACTTTGCACACGTGCCCTACTGTACATGTTTTTTGTCACCAAACCGAACTCTGGGCATCCAGAGCCATAAGCCTGAATGAAGCTAAACTTTGCTGTAAGGTGATTGCGGTTGACACTTCCGACGTCGACGCGGAAGCCGTGCTGGTGATGACCGCCCGTCACGCGACCTCCATTTAGATTATTTAGACATTTAGACTTCCAAACTTCTTAGCATTTTGATCCGAAGCAGCAAGAGCTTTGCTGTAAGCACCGACACCTCCTAGACGCTTATAAGCCTTAACCTCCACCCAGAACTGGCCCAGAACCCTAAAATGTCAAAGCCCTGAAGCCTGAACCCGGAAGCCTAATCTCAAAATCATAACCCCCTGGCCCAGGGTCCTGAAAATCGAGGAGCGCAGCAAGGGAGCCAAAAGCGCCAAACCTTAGATCTTACAAACCCGTGTGCATAATGCTTGCTCTAGTTGTGCGTTTCACTTCAATCAGACCTCGAACCACATGCTTCGCCTGAAGTGCCCGAGTGCGAGCGCCGAAAGCCTAAACCCTGTTCGAAGTCCTGGAGGTCCACCGAAAAACCTTTTGAAGCCCTGAGCTCTAGAAGCGGAAGCCTAAGGCCCTAAGCCTCCAACCTGATTTCTAGCATTCAGAAGGACCCTCAGTTAGGGTTTAGGGTTTAGGGTTTAGGGTGTAGGGTTTAGGGTTTAGGGTTTAGGGTTTAGGGCCTTCAGAGCTTAGGGGTCAGCTTGGAGCCCGAAGGCCTGGATCCTTAAGCTCTCTACTCAAGGGGCCCTGGGGGAATTTAAAAGGAGGTTTTGGCGAACATTGTGCTAGGACTTTGTAAGGAATCCCGCAAGGATGGCAGTACTAGGTATGCAGGTGTCCAAAGCTATCCTAAACCTCCAGTTCGCGAAACATAGCCTTAAACGCCTTAAACCCTAAAGTCTGCACCCTAAAACCCCTAAACCCTTAAACCCCTAAACCCTACACCCTGCCACAAAGGATCTTGACTACTTGTATGTCTATAAAAATGATTACTTCCTACGTCCCACGATTCTTCAAGAAAGGCCTGAAGAAACTCTGGGTCAAGATGGGCCAGATCAAGAAGGCCGAGAAAGGCTGGGCTCCTCGAGGTTGACGAAGGTTTCCCTGGGGTTCAGGGATGTACCTGTCAAGTATGCTTAATAAAATAATTAAGCAGGATAAACACATGCATAGACCTATATTGTTTCACATGCATACACACATACTTGCATGCATACATACATACATACATACATACATACATACATACATACACGTATACACACACACACACACATATATATATATATATGTATACATATATATATATATAAGTATATATCTATATATATATATATACACATACAAAGATATGTATGCAAGTAAAAGAAACATGGCCAATCCCAACAAGATCAACCCCGTCCACGTCCACCCACCCTAGGCACTTATTCAGGATTCGAGATGAAGCCCAAACTCCCTCGGGCCCTAAATCAACGCCCTGAACCCCCTAGGGAAGCCCTGGCGGACCCTCGACCCCGAATCTGAAAGGAGGGACCTCAAGTCTTGAGGCAAATTCTACTACAGTTAATATTATAATCATTACTACTATTATTATTATTTTCGATATTATCATTGTAATATATATATATATATATACACGCATACACACATAGAGAGAGGGAGAGGCACTATGAGGGAAAAGTGTTTCCATGTGTGCAACTCATCATTATTATGGTTTTCATTGTTATTCTTATTGTCATTTGTTATCGTTATGATTATTGCTATTGTGATTGTGGTTGTGTTCTTCTTCTTCTTCCCCTCATAGTAGTTAGTGTTATTTTGTTACCATGTTCATTCCTGTTATCAATACCAGTGTTCCTGTAACAAATATGGATTCTTCAGACGCTTAGATGTTTTATGGTCAACTTTTTTGAAAAGCGCCCTTTGGCTCAGACTTCGTCTCCTCGGAGAAGGCCAAGACAACTGCCAAGGTGGCCTCGAAGGTCACCTGGCAGCGGGCCTTGTTGGGCTTGAGGGGTCAGGAGGGTTCATGTTTAGGCTCACGTTTCGGGTCTAGGGTTGGGGGCTTAGGGTTTAGGGTCTAGGGTTTAGGCTTCTGATCTGGGGTTTCAGTGTTCTCCGAGGTGTTCTGGGTTTTTAAGGTTCAGGGCTCGAGGGTTTTAGGCTTTAGGACCTTAAGTTTTTGTTCTTGGATTTCGGGCTCTAGGTTTAGCTGCCTATACGATTTTACGCTGGACTTTAGCTTTTTGTGTTCTAGTCCTACAAGGGTTCCTTATGGGTTGGAAGCGGTTTCTGCACGAGTCTCACGGGTTCGGCGGTGTAAAGGCTTGAGTTTTCCCAAAAAGGGTTTGGGCAAATGTATAAGTCCTGGGGTTAAAGATTTAGGATTTGCTTTCATAGTTTTGCAGGAGATAAAAGCTTAAGCGATCAAGCTTCTGTTTCTTTCCAGATTATGATCTGCAGTGGTGACAAGCGGAGCTTTGAATGATGCCACCGTGCCCACCGAAGCGTACACCTCTCAGGCTACGTGGATCAACAAGGACTTCGAGGAAATGACGGAGTTGGAAAAGCCCCTTTGCCTGAGTCTACTTGGAGGATCCCGGGACTTAGCAAGTAGGGTTATAAGTACCTTAATTGGGGTTACAAGTAAATTATAAGTATAGTTACCTTTTATATAACCTCAGTTACTAAGTCCCATGATCGTTTAAGGAACCCCCTGCAAGAACCATAAACTCTAAACCCCGGGACCTGGGACTTCTTGTTGTATAGAGCCATATGGAACCCTCATGAGTCGGACAGGCTAGAATGGCTTTCGGATCCGCTAGATGGGCTTGGTTTTTGGTTCGTTTTTGGCAGGACTTGTAGCAGTGTGTGGGCGTCCAGAGACTGCAAGCCATGGCACTACCACAACTTGAAGCAAGAAGCTACACCACAGGGATCCCTTTATCTGTCGAGTTGTTGTTGCCTCGTTATATTGCTGCAACATGAAATTTCGATCGGGATATCCGCGCAGCTATGTGACATTGTCGTAGTATACAGTCACGTTTTAGCTCGTAATTTCCTTGCAGCACCGCCTGCCATGCGACGTTTGTGCCCCTCTGTTCATGCTCGTTTATAGCTTTGTCGTGCAGTCTGCTTAAGTACGTGATGTAGATTCGCTGTGTTGTTCGGTCTTAGTGTTGCTTGGCTTTAACACTACCAGTTGCCATGCTTCATAGCATGTTGACCGCAAGCGGTTGGCGCTGGAGCGTTTCAAGAACCGTTTGTACCCTTGCTATTTCCGTCGCTGTTTGACTTCAGTAATACTCCACTGAAATCCTACTCTTCCTTTTTTTTTGTCTCTCCTTGCAATAGTGGCGACAAGCTCCGCACGTGGATGTTCCTAACACTGCGATGGCTGAATTCCGGACCTTGCTCTGCTCGAGTTTCGAGTTCAGGCTTCCGTAAAGTTTAACCGCGGAAGCTGCCCAACAGGGTAATAGAGGGGCCTTCATGCCTTAATAACTACCTATACTATTTTTGAGTGTTTCTTATCATAAGTACGGTATATTATACCCCTCTTCTAATTATTAAGGCCCTTACATTAGATCATGAGCCCCACGCAGCTGCGAAACGACTGAGGAGAAGCCTGACGATTCTATCGTCTTTCGCGGCCGGATGACCCAGAGGGGGTCTTGCGGACGGTGAAGGCAGTAATGTTTGACGGTGAAGGCAGTAATCTTTCAGGATGTTAATCCAAGATGTTGGGTCCCTGAAAGATAACGGCTGCTACGCATCAGGTGACAGAACCACACACACACATTGCGCAGTATACCCACAAGACATCTGGAATGAAGCACCGTAGACATACACCTCCAAGCTGCGCAGGAAATGGGTATTCATCGCGGCAGTGTTGATTTGAGTATTTCGGGCTTCGGGCTTTTGGAGCACTCTTCTCAAGATTTCGTCCAAGGTTAGGGCAAAGGCTTTTGTCCAATAAGTTGCTGTAGCTTGCAAAAGCGGGTGAGGGCCCTCGGCTTCCCGAAGAGGCTCTCAAACCTAGCACCAAGGGCTTGGGTTCAGGGTTCAGGGTTTAGTCAGTTTAGTCGCACTAAAGCCTACAAAAAACCCTAAGTGAAAGGGTTTTGTGTCCAAGGACTACATGAGCAGCCGCAAAGTGCGATCGAGCCTTTGTGGCATTGTGGCTTTTGTCTGCCCGCTTGATAGCCTCAGGCTTTGGGAATCGGGGCTTGAATTCATGAACTTGTTATATATGCCACCACTTAACCAAATCTCTTGTGTGACCTCTTTTAACATGTTGAATCCCGTCCTTTTTCGTCGTCGCCGTAGTCGCCGCCGTTAGCTGAAGCTGTAGGTGGAGCCGTAGCTGCCGTGGCAGTGGCAGTTGCAGTAGGAGGTGACACTGAAGCTACAGAAGAAGAGTCATTTCCGAGCCATCACTTTCTGAACCATGTTGCAATATTCGGAGAATGTCAGGGTTCGGTTTCAATTCCCGAGCGCATGGGCACCGGAACGGATACCTTACTTTATGTATGTATGTATGTATGTATGTATGTATGTATGTATGTATATATATATATATATTGCTTTGCTTGATGATACACACGCACGGAGCCTTCTTGTTTCTTTGTTTATTCACCCTGAACCCTACACCCAAAACCCTACACTGGAAAACCTATACCTCAAGTTCTACACCCTCCCCTGATTCCTGTGTCATAAACCCAAAGCTAAAGTCGAGATGTGAGGAAAGACTTCTTTAGCAAGTTCGACGAGAGCGGTGATGGCTCCATCGATGCGGAGGAGCTGATGAAAGGCCCACCCCCATCTCCCCGTAGGGCTTGGGCTTTAGGGTTCAAGGGTTCAAGGTTGAGACCTAGTTGATAATCCAGCTTGGGCAAGGATCGTAGCAGCATGATCTTTATCAGATTCCTTTCTTGAGACGTGGGGCTCTCATTAACTTGGGGCCTGCGTTTTCTCTGCTTGCAAGGTTCGGTTGGCATTGGAACTACCCTTTTCCCGACTGTGACCGGTTCTGAACACTCAAAGGGCCAAATGCCTCCTTCATCTCCTTCTAAAGACGGGGGGGCAGTGTCGTGTAGGATTCCGCCTCCGGCACATAGACCGCAGTTCATGAGAAAGTCACACTAGATAGATGATTGCGCTGCTTCTACATGTGTCCCAATGATTAGTTCGGCGTTTTGCCGAAATTCGCCTCGATGCTAAGCTCAAAAAGAACATGTAGGGAAGAATCCTTTCCAGAGGTCGGGGGCCTCCTAAACCCGAAACCCCTACACCCGGCGGAGTCCGAGTTGCGAGAGCGTAAACCCCTAAGCTCCTAAACTATGCGGAGCCTTGCCGGCCTTGTGCGAGTGTGAGAGTCGAAACCCCTAAACCCCTAAAACCCCTAAACCCTAAGCCCGGAGCCTCACCCTGAACGTCTTCGTTTGGATTATTTCATGGAGCTCGTGGGCCTCGAAGTTCCTTTGCAGCGCAGCTGCCGGAATAATTGCCACATTTGTTCCTTAGGGCTCAGAACACTCCGTGCGGAGATAGCTGTGGCCCCAAGGCGTAGGTTCATTCCTGCGTCGCAATTCCGAGCCCTGCTGGACATCGTCGCCTCAGGGAAAAAAAAGATCAAAAGCCCGGCAGAGGCTGAGGCTCGCCCCACCGCTTGCCAGCAGGAGCAGGCGTCTGCTGATCAATCACCACCGCACTTTGTCCGTGGCAGAAGCAGCAGTTACGACACAGTCTTTCAATGGGAAAGCCAGGGCAGCCTCGTCCATGGAAAGCAGGTTGGGAGGAGCAAAGCAAGCCATTAGGACAAAAAAAGTGGGAATACTGGTCTGGTTTATGGCGCTCGCCTCGAAGCCGTGGGTCTTCGAATGGACCTGCCAAAGGCAAGGGCAGGCAATCACAGCCGCATTTTCCTTCTTACGATACCTGCAGGCCAGCGGAAGAGGCGATTACTCCGATAGTGGAAGGCAGACATGGTGGGAGTGCTCTAGCCTCGGAATCGTCTCTGGTGAATGCAGTACAAGGGGCAGTCAATCATGCCCGGAAGATGGACATCCGCCTTGCCAAGCTCACGACAGAGTACAAGGAACGTCAGAGATGTTGGCAGGTCTTTCAAGAGGATATGCGCAAGAACTATGCCAAGGAGAAGATTCGATTCGAACAGGACCTCAGCAGACTCCAGGAGGACATGCAAAGCGTCGAGGTTCAGCAGAGCCAGTCCTATCAGCTTCTGAAGGAAGCGGCAGCCACTGGGACTTCGGTGAGTTCCATCGCCACCCGTGCGGGCGAGGCAGAGTGGGATGCTCTGATTGGTCGGGACGAGGAGCTTGCCGGTTCGGAGCAGGCAACACAGAAGCTGGCGACGTTGCTGAAGGCAGTTACGAAGGAGAAGAACGACGAGCCTCCTCCTACTACGCCACCAAGGAGGACGACCAATGTTCCGCCAATGACACCGCCAGCCCCGACGGCCTCGCAGAAGGATGCTACCGAGCGTCCAATGACAGCGCCAGTCGGAGCAGAGCCCTAGAAGGCATCGCCAAGCGTGGCATGCTTTGGTGCTGGCTGGGAGCAGCCGGACGAGGAAATGGACGAAGGAACGGAAGCTACTTCTGTGGCGCCTTCGCCGAGCAGACGTCTGGCCGACCACAAGCGAGTTCCAGTGAAGCAACTGCCGCAGAAGGTGCCCCATGTTCCCTTACAGGCAGCTACTCTCTCCGACAAGTTGGAGCACAAGCGTCATGCTCTCCAGGCTTTTGGAAAGGATGTGCGCATAGAGATTGTGCCTGGAAAGGCGCAAGCCGAGCAGTCCTTGCTGCGGCTCAAGAATGGTAAGGCAGCAGGAGCCGATGGCCTGACGGCCGAGTTGCTGAAATTGGATGCGAGGTGCTCTGCCCGGCGTTTCCTGCCAATCATGATGAAGACCGTTATGGCCTTGAGGGAGCCAGTGTCGTGGCGGGGTGGCGATTTAGTGCTGCTCGCCAAGAAGGCGGGTAAGGCACTGTCGTGTGAAGGTTTTCGATCCGTGCTGATCGCTAGTGTGGCAGGCAAAACCTTTCACAGGTGCGTGAGGGCTCAGATTCTGCCTTTGCTGCAGTCTTCACAGCCGGCTTTGATGGCAGGTGCGGTCGAAATCCCGGCACTTGCAGTCAGGTCGTTTCAGATGTGGCAGCAGGGGCTCAGGCGGCCCTGGGCTGTCATTTTCGTGGATTTGCAATCGGCATATTACGGAGTGCTGCGGCAGCTTGTTGTGCATCATTCTGGCACTGACGATGTGTTGGTCGCTCTTCTTCGCAAGTTGCGACCCCCTCCGGAGGCGATGCATGAGCTACGTGATAAGCTGCAACACCTTGCGGCTTTGCCAAACCTGCATGCCAGCGCCCACTTGCAAGGGGTCATTGCCGACCTGCTGTCGGGAACATGGTTCCGACTGAGTGGACATTCTTCGTTGACTGCAACTACTACGTTACTACGGGCAGTCGCCCGGGCGACCCTATGGCGGACGCCCTTTTCGCGCTGACACTTTCGGCGTACTTGCATTCGGTCTCGGTGCAACTGAAAGAGGCTGGCTTGCAGCCGGTCCTGGATGCGCCGGCTAGTCGTCCTTTTTGGGCAGAACGTGAGGGTGGCCTAGACATCGGGGCTCCGGCCTGGGCGGATGACTTTGCTTTGCCACAGGCAGGTTCCGATGCGCAGGCCTCGCTGTCTCGAGTCGTATCCAGTGCTAGCATCCTTGTCACTCATGCCCGGTCCCTCGGCATGAACATCAAATTTGGGGCCGACAAAACCGCAGTGTTGGTCTCCTCCATAGTGGTGCGAAGAGAACATGACTGATCTGTTCGGCTGATGACCTGCCCGCCTTTCTCTGGATTCGGGACCAGGTTGATGCCACTGCCCACAGGCTTCCGGTCTTGGAGGTGGGAGGTATCTCATGGTATCTCTACCTCCAACTGTTCCCCGATGCCGGACTTGTACCACAGGCTTGCAAGGGCCTCCGGCATTGCCAAGCCCCTCAGTCGTCGACTGCTCAGCTCGCAAAGTTTCGATTTATCGGTTCGCCGAGCCGTTCTCCGTTCGCTTGCCATTTCGAAATACGTTCACACGAGCGCGGTTACCTGCAGCGGTGCATCAGAGGACCTGGGACCGTCATTACATCTCGTTGTGGCGCCACTCCGCCCTTGACCTATGCTCAGATCTTGGAGCTTGAGGGCCCTGAGAAGGCGCAGGCTCGTAGGATTCGAAAGGGCCATTGGAAAGACTTTGGAGCCTGCCCACCGCCCACCAAAGCCCCACTGACATGTGGCCCCCCCGGTCTTCCTACTGCGGCCGAATGCCTCGAGGGCATACCTCCTGAAGAGATCCTCCTTTCCGACCTTGCGAGGGTCTTTCGACCGTCGGCTACCAATGTCGCATGGATTCAGAGCCACCTTGCGAACTAGCAGCGAAGGTCCCAGGGTACACACTAGGCGCTGTTGGCAATGCCGTCCCGCTGTTTCACCTGAATTCTTATGCATATAGTTTTGGGACGCGCCCCAAACAAGGGCACTACTGTCCGCACAGAACAGAACAGAACATTTATTCCTTAGGGTTCCTTCTTGTTGATTATGCTACAATGTATCTTAAAGAACTGTTCTACTTACTCAGACCCCGACAGTAGTGGAATTTTTCGACAGGTTTGACTTTACACTTCCGATGATTCAGCTCCGAAATCTCCACATCGGTGGCGGGGCGATTCCCTTGGTAATATAGGTGTCAGAAAAAGTAGCAATAGGTCTAATTATTTAGGATCCCTACGTAATGGTTTTTGGGGTGTAGGGTGCAAGTCTTGGGTGGTAGCAGGGGAATCGGCCCCGATCATGAGGGTTGCATGAGGCAACCAGGTCATGTGCTAAGCCCGACAAGTTTGTTTTCGACCGCACCTCAACCCGCAGACCTGAACATGTACTGACGGATGCATAATCCGAAATGCTACACCCGAAATCGCGCCCCAAATCTCTGAAAGCCGACCGCGGCAGGAACCGTGAAAACCCAAACTCCTTGCCAGTCCAGCTGTAAACTCCGGCGACTCGTAACACCTCAGTTTCCAAACTTTACACATCATGCCCTAGGCTCGGGACATCCCTGAACCGTAAACCCCAAGCTATGAATATTTCGCTCAGCAATGCAGGAGGCAAAGAATATTTCAAGCCGGTGCAGGTATCACCTTCATGTCGCTCGCCGGCAACCTCCGCACGTCAATCTCGACGCCGGCGCCGGACCTCAAGGCGCATGTCTGGCTTCTTGCGAAGGGTGCGGGGCTGGTGAGAGCACGGTGGCTACCCTGTCCGTAAGAAGGCTGGCCGAGAAGGCAGCGAGAACAACACATCGCGAGACGTTTGCTGAGCCGTGTAGCCATGATGGATGATGTTACTCGTTGGTGGCACCAAGTTCCCATGCGTCGCAAGTCTTACTTCCAGGTCGTCCTCGGGCTTTCAAAAGGGGGTTTAGGGCCCTGTCGTGCCAGCTGACATTAAGAGTCTGGGTCAACAGGAGGGTTTCCAGCTATGGGGCGCGATGCTGATCTTTGTTTCCAAGTTTTATCTTCGCTGAGCTGCGGAGCAGGATGGGCTCCCTAAAGCTCTGAGCAGCCCTAAGCCCGTGAACCGTAAACCTTGTCACCCAGCCGCCCCGTGACCCTGTGCCTCCCTAAACCCCAAACCCGAGTGTGAGCGCCGAAACCCTAGGCTTCGGGTCTGGACTTTCCGGTTCTCTCGGGCGTCTCACTCTTTGGGGCCATGAGCTCTTGGGCTTTGGTGATTTAGTGCTGAAGAGCTTCATGCTCTAAGCTGTATACTTGCTTCTAGGCAGGTGTAGATTGCCAAAAACCCGAAGCAGTCCCCAAATTCCTCCACGGTCCTCACCTCAAAGCTCCCCATGTCCTGAGGAAGTGGAGCAGCTCTTCAGGCTTATCGACGCCGACGGGGATGGAACGCTGGACTACATGGAGTTGGATATCGTGATGAAGACGGTGCAGGCACGCTAGCGATTCTCGATGAGGCTTGGTGTAAGCTGAACTTTTCATGTAGGACGTTAAACCCTAAACCCTAAACCCCTAAACCCTAAACCCAGATCTTTTGGTTTGTGTCACGAAGCCGTGCCCTGCCGTAGCCCTGCGGCCCGAAGCACCACGAAAGCCTCTGAAAGGGCCCAGAATCCTGAGCTGAATGCACAAGAGTCCTCAACCTAGAGTGTACCCTAAAGCCCGATGCCCAACATGGCCTTAGGAGCTCTTTTGAGAACCCAGCACTGAATCCAAACACAGTAGCCGTAAGTTGTTGCAAACCGACTGCACACTAAATTCCAAACCTTTTAAGACGATAGAAGGGAAAAGCCGAAGTGAGAAGTGACAGAACCATCAATCGGGGGATTTCAGCCCTGATCGTGGAAACGCTGCCTCCTCCCTTCCCCCCTGCGCGTGTTGAGGTGCCAAGCGACACCGAACCTGTTGCCGAGACGTCGAATAACCAACGCATTAAGCCTATCGGAAGCCCTGAACCCCAAGCCCTGAACTATCCTCGCCCCTAAACCCTGAAGTTTGAAGCCCCAAGAACCTTAGGGAACCATGTAGACACCCTGAAACCCTACTTTGCTACGAAGCCCGACAACCATCCTGCACAATTCCTAAACCCTTAGCCCGAAAGAGTGAGTGCCGAAACCTTCGTGGAATCCCTCAAGAAAGGCCCTAAGCCCAGAACCCAAAATCCCAAAACCTAGGGCCCTTACGCACCCGGCTGCGCCAGGAGCGCAAGTCTAAACAAGCCAAGGCTGCTCGGATACGTGTCACACCCCGTATCCTTTTAGGTTGGGGGTTCTTGAAGGTCTAGGGCTTAGGGTTACAGGATGTAGATTTTCGAGTTTAGGGTTTGAGGTAAAGGGAATTGCGAGGCGTCTTTTGCGCTAGTTTATCGTCTCTTACTCAGGTTTCCGTTCCTTTTTTGAGGAGCTGTGGGCCTCAAGGACACGGGCGTAATCTGCAAGGTGACGAAAAGGGTGCCGGGCTTCTGTGCGCACTCGATTGAGTCGATGTGCATTCAACCTTGAACTCTTTTGCATGATGCTCCATCCCTGTACACGGGTGCCTAGAAGATGCACTCGCATTCGAACAAGCTGCTGCGCGCCCTTCTCAAAGCTTCCTCAATCTGACAGACATGATTTGCAGTGGCCTGCGACGAAACTCAGGCGAGCAACTTCTTTGTCAAGGACGGGTGCAGGGTGTGATTTCCGCGGCAGATGTTGTGGGCACTGCTTAAGTATCTGAGTGGAAATACAGGAGCCGACAGCACAGGCATAGCATTCCTTTGTGGTCCTTGTGGCATTGATTCACGGTTTTCCACAGCTGTGCAGGCCCAGGAGGCTCCAAATACGAACATGAACCCTAAACCCTAAACAGCCCTAGACCCTCGACCGAAACATGTGCTGCTGTTCTACTCAGTCTTGGTGTTGTGTGACCTTAGACTACGAAGCTTCGACGAAGCCTTCTTCTCTGACAGAGTGCGAGCAGCAGTTGTGCTGGGGTTGGCGGCCCAGAGGCTTTGGGGTTTTGAAACTATTTCTGTATCAGTTGCTTGTTGTGACACAGCCTTGACTCGGGGTTTCAGAAAACAGGGGACCCTCCTCATATAGAATCCTTAATAGCAGAGTCCTCATCATGAAGATCAAGAAACTCCCGAACCCGAACAATAAATTCAACCCGAATTCCCTGCAGTGCATTTCAGGCATGTAGACGAGTCGCCAGAAAGCGCTCAACCCCAAAATCTAAGGCCCCAGACCCACCCTAAACCCTAAACCCTAAACCCTGAACCCTGGTCTGATCTGGGACTGTTGTGGAGGACCTGAAAGATGTTTTTCCACATAATTTATCGAGCTGAACTATAGGCTTGATACGCATGCTCTCAGACGTCATTCTACCCTGCAATGCGGGCTCGTCCTTGCTATGTAGGAGGCCAAAAAAAACCCTAAACCCTAAACCCAAAACCCTAAACCCAAAGGCTTGAGTTGAACCTTGCAGGTCTCACTTCCGCCATAAATCGCGCCAGCCGCGTCCCAATGTAAGCGCCGAAACAGAACAAAACCCAAGAGCTTCAAACCCTACGTACATGGGTCCTCAACCCTCAAACCCTGAAGCACGTCACTTAGCCCTCGACCCTTCTACCATTAAGCCCTTAAGCCCCTAACCTGAAGGACGAGATCGAGATGAGTGACTTAATCATTAGTATTAGTATAGCAGTTATAAGAACAGCACTAATCATGACAATCATCAAGTTTATGCTACACGTAACCCGAAACCCTAAACCCTAAACCCTAAGCCCTAAACCGGAAGGACGAAATCGAGATGAGCGACTTGGAGAAGCTCGCTACCGGCTTCTTCGTTCCTCTGTGGCTCGGCGACCTCTGCCCCAGTCTTCAAAGTGGCTCATTGCCTGTAAGGTAGTATGTATGTAGTTTAGGATTTAGGGTTAGGGTTTAGTGCTGAAAAAGGGTTTAGGGATAGTATGTATGTAGGTAGGTAGGTAGGTAGGTAGGTAGGCATGTAGGTAGGTAGGTAGGTAGGTAGGTAGGTACGTAGGTAGGTAGACCCCTAGAAGGCAGCAAAAGAGCTTTACTAGTATTACAGGCACTTTTTAGGTCTTGCAGGGCTTTCAAGAGAATAGAGTTTAATCTTTGTAGAGTTTCACAGGGTATCAGTTCTGGTTGCTAACACCCCCCCCCAGCTCGCGGGGAAAGTTGCCCTGCATGACCAGTCACAACTCAAAGCCCCTGCCTGGATTCTCCGATACAGCGGTTTAGGTTCAGGGTTTAAGAGTTTAGGGCTAACTAAACGCGTCAGGACGGGTTTAAAGAAGGGATAACCAAGCTTTCCGATCAGGGTTTAGAGTTCGGAGTCTTGGGATGGATTCGCATATGATGTGTTTCGGCTTGAGTTTTTGGCCTTGGCTCTGCTAACCCCCAACCCTAAACCCTAGACTCTAAACCCTAAACCCTAAACCTAAGCACGGCCTAATACAGAGGTAGGAGTAATCACAGATTAAAAGTTATTCCCGAGGCGATACATGCACCAGCACCCTATCTTGATTACGTAGTTGTTAAGGCCGTTCATAGGTTTTCTTTTTATGTACACCAAAACCCTATTCCAATGGACGTTTAAGGCCCGTATATGACAACCCTTCTAGCTTCACGTCCAAACCTGAAAGTCGCAACCCCTCCCGCCCAGGTGGAACTACTTCGAGGCGGGTTTCTGTCAGTTGGTAGCGTAGGGCTTAGGGTTCAGGGTAACCCTGAACCCCAAGGCCGAGACGCTGATTTGCGGCTGAGGGTTTGGCAGACTCCCATTCTCCAAAACCCTTCAAGCCTTCATGAACCAGGGGCCTGATAACCCTAAACCCTAAGCCTTAAACTCTAGCCCTGACGTCTTGAAGCTCCCACGTTGAAGCCTCTAGCTGACAGGATTTCGGTGTTAAAATTTCGCTTAGGTTTGGACTGGACTGCAGGGTTGAGTTGAGCCTGTGGGGTTGCGGAGGATGGTTTCCGGGTGTAGGGAGTTCGAGGGGGCTTTCGAGATAAGGTTAGCCCAAAGTCCCAGCGCCTAGGGTGTAAAAGAGACACCCCAAAGCAAAAACTTAAAATTGAAAAAAATTAACCATTTATTAAACCCAAAACCCAAAACCTAAGAACCCTAAACCCTAAACCCCAAACCCGCAACTCTCGAAAGCAATTTAAATCCTAAAACCCCAGCTTCGAGAGGCCTAAGTCCCCAACCCTCTGAAAGGCCAACAAGTGGACCGTGAAGGCAGCCTGATCGAGCGCTCGGGGTTTAGGGCTTTGGGCCATTCTGTTGAGTTTTTGCATCTACATATGGCGTGTATTTCTGAAGATTCAGTGTCTCTGGCTTTGTCCTAATTGTTTCTCAGAGTTGTCATTCTTCGTTTTTTTCGGTTTCGCTGTTCGAGCTTCCGTGCCGGGCTTCTACATTGTGGAGGGTTCTGGGTTTAGGATTTGGATGTGGGGTGAGGGTTTCGGGGTTGAGGGTTCGGACCTTGTGGGTTTACCATGCTGCAAGTGTTCCACGCATCTCGTGTGTCGGGTCGGAGCGAGCAGCGTATCTTTGATTTGTGTCGTTCTGGGCTTCAGAGAGCAAGTAGTAAACTAAGCTGCTGCAAGTAACCGTAAACCCTAAACCCCACAAAAGCCGCTTCATCTTGTGGTGCATTGTCGGGGGAGTTGGCTAAGAGCGAGCAAGGTAGTCAGGTGCCGCTGGAACCCCACAACCTGCCTAACGCTTCAAGTCATAAGCATCTTTCCCTTGATCCCAGAGAATCCAAATACCCGTTAACTAAGGAATATACCTTTAAAATGATAGAGGCTATAATATTATGATTTAAGGCATACTCCTTAATTAGGGGGGTATTGAGTTCTCTGGGATTTGGAGATGCAAACGGATCCTGAGGGCCCGCGCAGGTGACAGGTGGAGTTGTGATGATTGTGTCTCATTTTCAGGCAAGTCAGTGATTCCATATGTGCTGACCCTGCACTCTGAACCGAAAACCCAGTACAGTCTGAGATTCAGCATGGGTCATCGTTGTTGCTGTTGCGACCCTAAACCCTAAACCCTAAACCTTCGGGCCCAAACCCTGAACCCCGGCAACTCCCGAGTCGTCGGACCTGAAAGCCCGTGCGCAGGGCTCCTGTGGTTACCCGTCTCGCCATGATTATTGCGATCATGCTTGCTGTAACTGCTATTGTTGTTTAAGACCAAATCTGGTGCAACAAAGCGTGTTGATGGCCCGAAATTGCAAGCCTCACTGTATGCCCTGAACCCTGAACCCTAAGCCCTCAACCCTAAACCAACGACATCGAGGACTTCTTTGCTAAGTTCGACACAGCGGGCCACGGTCATCTTAGACTCTCGGCCATCTTGATCATTTGGGGCTTTGTCGTTTCGCCCCAAATTTTGAAGAGTCGACCAGCTAAAGCTTAAGTTTTAATCTCACCCCTGCAGGCCACGTCTAGGGGACTGGAGATATCGCTTTTCGGTCGTAGTCACAAGGGTCCTCGGTTTCGGGGATGGCGGACGTGGACGTAGAAATGTACTAGACCACCACAACCACCACCACGACCACGACCACGACCACTACCACCACCACCACCGCCGCCACCACCGCCGCCGCCACCGCCGCCGCCACCACCACCACCACCACCACCACCACCACCACCACCACCAACACCACCAGCACCACTGCAAATGCTGCTGGCGGCATTGTTAGCCGACCGTCAGGCAACAGTAGTAGCAGCAGCAACATCAGCAGCTTTTGTAGCAACGGCCTCTTGCAATACCGATCCCAAAAAGTCACCCGAATGCTTGTCATGCGGGCATGCTGGCGATCGTAGGGATGCTGCTGCTACGTGATGGTAACACCTCGCCGGCTTGTGTTCCGTGATGTCCCAGCCTGTAATTAGATGCTACTCATGTTTCGATGCTAGTTTTCATCATGTTGAGGCCTTGTCGGTGATAGTTGTGGGGACGAAAACATGACAACCTTCATGAAACGACCACCACGTAGTTACCGTCAGCCTCATATTGTCATCCCGCCCAACACTACCGTGCCAAACTCAATCCGCAAACACTGGTCGCTGAAGAGTCGAAACCCAGAGCCCTCATAAAGTTTCAGGAAACTACTCTGAAGCCAGGGCTGGGCTGTAAAACCCCAGAGTAAACTAAAAGTAAGAGGCCCGGGCTACTTTTAGTACATCCCTTTGTTTGGCTGTGCTTTCTTTCCAAGGTATCTTATAGCGAGAGAAGAGTCAAGCCATGTCAAGCCCTGATAAACCCTTGCAAGATTTGCAACCTGATAAGCCCGGAGGGCGCCCTTGTAAAGCCATTTGTCAGCTTTACGAAAGCCTATAACAAGCGCTAGCACCTTTAAAGCACAGATAAACCCTCACAGTTTAAGCCGCTTTCTCCAACTCTTGGTGAAACTCTATCTAAACCCTAAACCCTAAACCCTAAACCCCACACCCTAAACCCTAAACTATCGAACAGCCGCCTTCAACCCGACCCCTTCTCAGCTGAGGTTTCCGGGAGCTCAAAACGGTGCCGGGGCAGAGCTTTGAGATTTCGCATTGTTAGCATTTAGGGGGTTCCTGTGAGGGGTTCCTGTAGGTTGTCCTTTACGGGAACCCTTAACGAGAACCCTTAAAGGAACCCTTGTAGTACCAAGGGAACCCTTGCAGGAACCCTTAAGGGAACCCTTGTACCCGAAGCCCTCTAGTTCCCTTAAAGGAGCCCCTTTTAAGGAGCTCCCTTTTGGGTCATCAGTTAGAAAGCAGGGTGTAAGGCACCGAAGCAGGAAGATGATGAGGATGAAAATCCGAAGCCGGCCAAAAAGCGCAAGAAGTAGATGCTAGCATCACGGGAGTCCAGCCCCTGTCTGCAGTATCGATCCTAACCTTCTAGGTAACATCGGAGCTGCTCGTCCAATACCCCTTAATTAAGGAATATATCTTAAATCATATTAGGGATCCTACTATAATTTAATGTATATTCCTTAATTAAGGGATATTGGAGTCTCTGAGTATGATTAGAGGGTTCAGGATTCCCGTCGTCGGCTTTCGGTTTAGGGTTTAGGGTTTAGGGTTTTGGGTTGAGGGTTTGAATTCGGAGAGCTAGGAAAAATACGACAGGATATCCCACTGAAAGCTGTGCCGCCGGTCCCTATCACTTAGCCTCCTCTGCTGCTGACGACTACTCAGCCCAGACTTGCTAGCTTCAGAATCCTGGACGCCTTCCCCGTGCTTCTTTGCGTCCAGTGGTCGCAGGCTGCTGGCTACGAGCTTTATCCCTTATCACATAGGCCCTGTAAGCGACTAGTGGCGAAGAAATCGGAGGAGACAAGGTCAATGCCTGCCGTATCAACTGCCTAGCGCGTAGTGGCTTGCGGCTGCTTGTCATCTTTGTATCGAGCTAAGCTTCGCCACAAGCCGGAGCTACCTGCAAGCAAGCTAGATGACATGATATCTCAACAAGCTCTCCAGTCTCATCCCTAAACCTCAGGCCCCTATGTAGCCTATGCCTGAACTCTCAACCCTTAACCGCCTTAACCCACGACAGTGCGCAGGCCTTGAAGAGCACCTGTACGGGAGTCTCAACTGAAAGGGGGCCCGCCAACTATACTGTTGGCTTAAACATCGACAGCGTGGCCATACTCAGAAACCCCGCAGCAGAACGTGTGATCAGCTTCATAAAAGCCAACCGAGCACTGAGCGAGAGCCGAAACCTGAAGACTGGACATGGGACCTTTAATATAAAGCACCTAAGCACCTAAACCTAAACCCTAAACCCAAAGGAAAAAGAAGAGCTCGGCTTCACTTGCAGCTTCGAGAAGTTTGACCGAGCTTCGGCAGCAAAGGGAGCCGCCGGAGACCTTTAGGGTGTAGGGTTGAGGATTTAG